CCAGGTAGCTTAAGTGATAAAGAATCTGCCTGCCTATGCAGGAGACACATGAGATTGTGGGTTTGATCCCTGGATTGGAAAGATCCCCTGGAGGAAGAAATAGCAACCTACTCCAGTATTCTTGCCTAAAAAATCCCATAGACTGGCAGGCTGCAGTCCATGGGGTCGCAAGTAGTCGGACAGGACTAAACATGCACACACACGCAAGGCACTTTCAAATAGATCCTAGTCCATTTTAGTGTGTACCAGGAAGGGTGATTTTTAAATAAACAAATCCACTCTTTCAGACAGTTGGGCATTTAGCTTTTCACAGTCTCAGCATTCAGACTCCTTTGGAAGAGGAAGTAAACTTGACCTCCCGTTCTTTTAGACAGCACTCCCTTGCTTGGTGGCCAGCTCTGCTCCAGACACCAAGCTGCAGAACCATGAGGAAGATGTCCTTACTCCTGGGCCTTCTGCTTTCCAGCTTGGCTTCTTGGGCCAGTGGCCATCCCATGAAGCCCACCCCATGCAACTGAGCCACCACACTGAGGCCCCAGCTGTAGACCCAGACTCAGCCCACTCCCCTTTTATTGCCCAAAATATGCTTGCCTTGGGTTTATCACTTGTGCATAGTGCAAAAGTAGGCCCTGCTTTTAGTTTGGTTGCTTATTCTAGGGTTATTTAAATTCATTAGCACTGAGACTTTGGCTTCTACATACTATTTCCTATTAAAAGGGAAAAAAAATGCTCCTTTTCAAAATGCCTCATTCTAGGCCTGGAACAGCAAATGTATAAGTCTGAAATATTTAGTCATATCTGAAAATGACAAAATTATTAAGCATGACCAAGGAGCCCTCACAGGAGACAATCTGAAGAAGCTCCTGCTGGCCAAACACTGGGACAGTTTGAGCATCAATAAGAATCCTGAAAGCAAAAACAAAACCAAAAGTCAAAAGCAGATACTAATAGCAATAAACCTATCAAGCATGTTAAAATCCTTTATTTCATAATGATCACAAAAAAACAAAAATTAATCGGAATTTCCTTCATTGGAAAATGAAGGAAAAATCCTTCATTCTGTCTTTTCTGTATGACTTTGGAAAAATCCTTCATTCTATCTTTTCTGTATGACTGTACCTCCTGGGAAACAAACTCTTGATAATGAAAAATTTCTCCTTATAGAGGTATTTTGCTATTACATGAAGAAAAAATGAGAATATTCCCGTTTGCAACTTCTAATGAAATAGTGGACCTAAGCAGTGATCATCATAGCTGCTAACTGTACTTTCTTTAGAAATGCACATCACCACCTATAACTTGTTTTCAACAAAATTTAGAACCAGAATCTCATCCAGTTATTAGAACTCCCTAACGGTTCAGAAGAAGTACAGGGAACAGGCACAGTCTCACAAGGATACTCTCTCAAAACCCAGATTGTGGAAAATTCTGCAGGACAAACCGACAGCTGCTTCATCAAATAAATTGCAGAGAGAAAAAACCTAAAGACTAAACGAAACCAAAGAGATGTATCCACCCAGTGCAACATTTGGGTTCTGATGCCAACAAACCATCTGTAAAAATTCATTTCAAAACCAAGATAGGACATTTAAACAGTAGATGGGAGATATTAGGGAATTGCTGTTAACATCTTTTTCATTATGGTGATTTTGTGTTCTATTTCTTAAAGATTCATTGTCTTTTAGAGATATATGGAAATACCGGCAGATGAAATAAGATGTTTGGGGGTCACGTATTTTGGGGGTTGGGAGAAGAGAGGGAAAATATAGCAGAAACAGGATTGGGTATGAATTGATAACAGTTGAATTTATGTCATGATCTTTCATGATGTTGCTGTCTCTACTTTTGTAAATGTTTGAGATTTTTCCAGAATAAAAAGTTTTAAAATGCATTAGGCAGTATTTTTGAAAGAAGTGGAAGATAGATGCTGAGCCTGAGGACAAAAGTATCAGTTTGGAGCAGCAGGGTCTGCTGGCCTAGAGGTGGCACTTGCTTTATGAACCCAGAGGAGAGCAGAGTCACTGCTTTCAGAGGTGGGGCTGGAGGAAGGGGGCTGCTGCTGGAGATGAGCAGGATCTGTAGCTGGGTCTTTCCTCTAGGGAATCCCACAAGCCAGGCTGTGCAGATCACAGCCAGCAATCAGTACCTACTGCACAACCATGATACTGCCACGCTACTGCATCAAATGAAGGGACACTGGCAGGGCTGTGGCAGGAGGAGAGGATGTGGGGGAGAGCTGAAGGCGGGCTTGGCGGGCCTAGTGGTGCAGAAACAGTTTCTGTGTGAAGAGTGGCTGGACTGAGCCTCGCAGATGGTTGCCAGGCTTTAGGGAGGCTCTAAGAAGGACTTTACCTGGTGGCTCAGAGGTTAAAGCGTCTGCCTGCAATGCGGGAGACCTGGTTTCGATCCCTGGGTTGGGAAGATCCCCTGGAGAAGGAAATGGCAACCCACTCCAGTATTCTTGCCTGGAGAATCCCATGGACAGAGGAGCCTGGTGTGCTACAGTCCACAGGGCCACAAAGAGTCAGACACGACTGAGCAACTTAACTAAGAAGGACTTTGGGAAAAGAGGGTATGAACCAGGTACGAATGCAAGAATAAACAAGGGCCTGTCAGGGAGCTTGGATCCCCACCACCAAGTATCAGCCTGGGGACAGGGACCTGGAAGAAGAGCTAATACACCAGAGGGAAGAAAATCAAGCTTCTCATTCCGCCGCTCTTGAGGAGTTTCTTCTTCTTCTGCAAACAGTTCTTCACGCAGAAGGCCCCTTTTTCTTCCCCATCATCCTGTGCAAGTTTCTGGGGCCTCTGAGTTGAGTTCTGGGGCATCCCCAGAATTTGTCTCATCTGTTGTTAAGTTTTTGCCAGAGGAGAAGTTGCTGGAAGTCATGCCTACCGTGGTGGCAGAGAGCCAGTGAGAGGGCAGTTTGGGACTGGTCCACTGTAAATCTGCAAAGAGACTCCTCAGCTGCAGCCACGTCCTAAGATGTCTTTGAGTAGGGCTTAAGGAAACAGCCCACTGTGGGATGGCCCCTCTCCCACCTCGGACACTGGGGGTGGGTGTGCCTTGGGGGTGCGTGCTGCTTGGGGATCCTCAGCTTCATGCACTCTTGGGCCTGGGCCCAAGGGCAGGAGCAGGGGTATGGGTGATGGGGAACCTCCCCCAGAAGTGCCAAGCTCAGGAGCCCACCCTGGGAACTTTCTAGAACAGGAAAGACCGCCTCAGCCTGTGGCCAGTTCTCCACGTTGTCCCTGTGGGCCTAGCGGAGGGCTTATCAGAGGCAGCCCAGCCTGGAGCTCCCTGTGTGGAGGCCGTGCAAACCTGATCTCATGGAGCCTTGGCTCCCTGGGGTGAAGGGTGACCCAAGAAGGGGACAGGCCCAGGAGGTCCCAGGGGATTGGAATCAGAGCCAGGCTGACCCAATCCAGAGCCTGTGCCACCTGCTCCCCATCAGGCCGTCCCCCCACCCCACAGCCTGTCAGGTCTGCTCATCTATTCCTCCGTCTCTGGAGTAACTTGGGTCCTCCTCCTGATACTTGTTCCAGATCCCACCCCCACCCACTGCCAGACCAGGTTCCAGTCCGCCTCCCCCAACTGCCGCTGTTCCTTGGTTGTGTATGTGAGGCTCTCCAGCCAATTCCTGTGAATCCTGGTTTCCGAAGAAGTAAAATATAAACCATAGAAAAAAGAAAAGACCCAGAAATAAATCTATAAGAGGTCAGCCATGATCAACTCATTCATATAAAACCTTTTCTTTGTAGCCATGTGTGTGGGTGTGTGTATTTATACATACATTTATATAATTTTATGTATAGTTTTATGCAGTCGAATCTTGTTTCCTTAGCCAAACTATAATTGCTTTGTTTGATATCACTGTGCCCCCTCCATATGCCTAGCACACTGTAAAAATCTGTCATGGGATGGAAAGAAATCACAATCTAAAACCTGTGCATGTGCCCATCTCTGCAGGAAGGGGAGGGGAGCTAGATGGGAGAGAGAGGTTTTCACACTTTACCTTACAGACTTTTAACGGTTGTATCTGTATTTGTTATACAGCAAGCAGTCTCAAATTCTTGTAATCTTCTCTGTGCTCTAGGTTTGAAAGGACTCAGGCAATGCCCAAGGATGGATGCCCCCATGGAAATCCCAAGATTCCCAGCTCTGGGATGACTCCACTTTACCGGAGTCAATCCTGCTTTGGAAGCATCTGATACTGACTCTGCATGAGCCTCTTGATGAGGGTGAAAGAGGAGAGTGAAAAAAATAACTTAAAACTCAGTGTTAGAGAAACTTAAGATCATGGCATCTGATCCCATCACTTCATGGCAAATAGAAGGGGGAAAAGTGGAAACAGTGTCAGATTTTATTTTCTTGGGCTCCCAAATCACTGTAGATAGTAACTTCAGCCTTGAAATTAAGACACTTGCTGATTGTAAGAAAAGCTATGACAAACCTAGACAGGGTATTAAAAAGCAGAGACATCACTTTGCCAACAAAGGTCCATATCATCAAAGCTATAGTTTTTCCAGTAGTCATGTATGAATGTGAGAGTGGGACCATAAAGAAGGCTGAGCCGAAGAATTGATGCTTTCAAATTGTAGTGCTGGAGAAGACTCTTGAGAGTCCCTGGGACAGCAAAGATATCAAACCAGTCAATCCTAAAGAAGATCAACCCTGAATATTCAATGGAAGGACTGATGCTGAAGCTGAAGCTCCAATACTTTGGCCACCTGATGCAAAGAGCTGACTTATTAGAAAAGAGAAAAGACGTTGATGCTGGGTAAGATTGTGGGCAAGAGGAGAAGCAGGCGACAGAGGATGAGATGGTTGAATGGCATCACTGACTCAATGGATGTGAGTTTGAGCAAGCTCTGGGAGACAGTGAAGGACAGGGAAACCTGGCATGCTGCAGTTAATGGGGTCATAAAAGGTCCACAGGGCTTAGCAACTAAACAACAACAACAAAGATGTTCTGCAAGCCTTTAAATTAGGAGAGAGTCAGAAACGTGAGCACACCTCTCCTTCTCCTGTGACCAGAAAGGAATGAGGGTGAGTAGAGAGCGTGGCTGAGTGTGCATCTCTTTCTTGGGGTCCATGAGCCTCCTTAAGTCTGTGGGCTGAAGGGGTGGAGTCTGCAGGGACTTGGATGAGGAGGGGCTAACTGAGCTGTTTGGAGAGCATCTAAAAGGTCACTCCCTGTGTTAGCCCCAGCTTTTCCTCAAAGCAAGAGTCAGTTCAGGAATATTACTGGCTGTACTTGAGTGTATTTGACATCCTGGAGCCAGATAGGGGTGACACTCTGGCACGCAGTCCATCTTCATGACTGCTCCCTCCTTCCCACACAGTCACTAAATTTCCTAATCTGAGTTAGATGGCCTTGGGTTCTGTCCCAGGTAGAAGTGTGGTGTGAACACCCGAAAGAAGTGCTGAGCCCAAGACCAAAGCCCCTGCTCCCAGCACTCCTGTCTGCATGTTGCCTGGGATGCCTGACTAAACATCCACCTGCCCTGGGAGACTGGCAGAGCTGGATCTGACTTACTCTCCACTCCCTCAACACCAGCCTGGTATCCAGCACACAGCAGGGCTCAGTGCACTTTCCATCGTGATAAACACCTAGCAGGTCAGGGCACCTTGGGGGCTGGCACACTGCACAAGCCTGGGGGTCCTGCCCGCTCTGGGTCAGGTTACCAGCCCTGGAAGGGTGCAGATCCTTGCTTTTGTTTTCACTTTAGTCTTGATTAGTCATTGGACCTTGGGCAAGGGCTTTAATGTCTTCAGGCTTTGGTTTTCTCCTCTGCAAAATGTGCCCATGGAGAGTAGAGGCCCTTCCCTCCCTATCACCCGCTCCCCACCTCCCAAGAAGACTTTTTTAAAAAATATTAATTTATTTGGCTGCACCGAGGTCATAGTTGCAGCAGGTGGGATCTAGTTCCCTGACCAGGGATTGAACGTAGGTTCCCTGCACTGGGAGCCTGGAGTCTTGACCACTGGACTACCAGGGAAGTCCCCCAAGAAGGCTTTTTAAACTGGGTAGCCCAGGCCATGGGCACGCCTCGGCTGGCATGGCAACAAACATTCTAAAGACTGCCCGTGGAGCCTCTGGCTGGTCCTTAGGACATTTCTGGTAGTGCTGCAGATTGAGCGAGGCAGAGGGACCCTGTGCACTCGCTTTGGCTCTGCCCTCGCACCCTCCCACCCCCCATGACCTCCACTGCTGGGTCGCTCACATCTCACATGCTGCTTTGCAGTGTTTTTTCAGGTGTTCTCATCTCGGCTCCCATCTGGCCTGTGAGCTCCCAGAGGGCAGGTCCCCTGGTGTCTGCTGAGCTCCGGGGCTAGCTCCAACGTGGCTGCACGGGCGGTGGTTGTACGAGGCTGGGGCCTTCGGCTCCTGAGGGTACAAAAGTAAGGGGCGCAGCACCCACCCCAGATGCCGAGACACAAGAAGACACGGGAGGCTGTCTAAGCCAAAGCCACTGTCTAGTCCACCAGCTCTTTCTGGAAGACTCAGTGGGGTTTCTTTCAGCGCCTGCAGATTTCTGTCAACTGATTTATCTCAAGAGGAACTAGAGGGCTGGGGGACGAGGAGAGGGGGGCAACTGACAGCTTCTTCCAGAGCCTCAGTTTTCCCAGCAGTGAAATGGGGAAAGTGGTACCTGCCTCCTACCTTCTTCCTGGGGGTTCTTTGATAGTTGAAACTTTTCACTTTTAAAAGGCTCAGATGAAAGGCACTGATGGGATGAAAGGGTCTTGGGGCCATATTAAGTTTCTCCACAGTTTTTGAAGCCTGAGAGGAGCGGCTGGAGGAAGTGGTCAGCTGACAGGTACTTGTGAAGCCGCCCAGAAGGTGATGCTGGGCAGAATTAGCATGCCAATCAGCCACACCTAGGGCGTGAGGGCAGCAGGGAGCGGAGCCCTTATCTGGGGCAAAACCTGTCATTTCCCTGAAGAGGGGGGTTGGGGCAATGTGCTGAGGGAGATGGACAAAGCCCGGACAGGCAAAGCCTCGGGCAAGCCCTCCGCTCTCTGGGCCTCAGTTTCCTAAGGTGCAAAAGGAGGAAACCGAGCAGAGAAGTGGCCCCCAAACTGGGCCGTGTTCACACTGTGATGTCATCTCCTCTCCTGGGGACATCTTTAAAACCCTGACTCCAGATTGTTCTTCAGATGGAATAAACCTGAGCCTCTGGGGTGGAACCCTGGCATCAGAAGTTCTTTAAGCCATCGGGTGATTCCAACGTGCAGCCCAGTTTAAGCTCTGGAATAAAGGATTTCCAGGAGTCTGAGGTTCGCTGAGCATAACTTTCCCACCACTCAAGGAGTCTCTGAGGGATTCTGGGGGGATTTGAACATTTAACTCACGTGTCTGAGTCTTTGGAGCCCTCTCTGTGTGCAGAAACTCAAGTTATTAATTTATTTCCAACCACTTCTGAAATATAAAATTTTCCTAGTGTTCTTTTTAGTCAGGTTTAGGTTTCTTCCTCCAAATTCTTTTTTTAAAAAACAGAGGACCTACCTGGTGGTCCATTGGTTAAGACTCTGTGCTTCCAATGCAAGGGAGCATGGACTTGATCCCTGGTGGGGAGCTAAGATCCCCCATGCCTTGTGGTGTAACCAAAAAAATTTTTAATTTAAATTCAAAAAAAGAAAAAGAACAGTTGCAAGGGGAGAGGAGCAATATAGGGGTACGGGAATGCAAAACACAAACAGGTGTAAAATAGATTCAAAGATACAAAAAAAAAAAAAAGATATCTACAAAGTAGATAACCAATGGGCTTCCCTGATAGCTCAGCTGGTAAAAAATCTGCCTGCAATGCAGGAGAACCCAGTTCAGTTCCTGGGTCGGGAAGATCCACTGGAGAAGGTTTAGGCTAGCCACCCCAGTATTCTTGCCTGAAGAATTCCATGGACAAGGGAGCCTGGCGGGCTACAGTCCATGGGGGTGCAAAAGAGTCAGACACGATTGAGCAACTAAGCATAGCACAGCCAGATGACTAATAAGAACCGACTGTATAGCACAGGGAACCCTACCCAATACTCTGTAATGACCTACATAGGAACAGAATCTGAAAACAGAGTGGATATGTGTATACATATAACTGATTCACTCTGCTGTCCAGCAGAAACTAACACAACTATAAATCAACTATACTGAATAAACATTAATTTAACAAATAGAGTGGAGTGACATGCTTTGGACCTTGAAAAAAAAAATAAAAATAAGCTACAAGGTTATATTGTACAACATGGGGGATATAGCCAATATTTTATAGTAATTAAATGGAGTATAATCTTTTAAAAATTGTAAATCACTCTATTGTACTTCTGTAAGATATAGTATTGTACAACTACAATTTAAAAGAAAAGGTTTAAAAAAAGGAAAGAAAAGGTTTAATCATTAATTAATTTAATTTTAAAAACCAGAGTTGCAACCCCACTAGACTATTTGAGTTTTCAATCTCCTGTCATTTTTCCTGACCCTCTTTGGTAGGAACCTCAGTCATCAGTGAGATGGACTCCAAAAGCCAGCAGCCAGGAGAGAGGGAGCAGAAATGACAGCCTCTCCAGGCATCACCAGTAGGAGGGGTTTCCACCTGATGCCAGCTCCTCTCCCTCTCTCGGCTACAGGGACTCCATCCCCACCCAGCAGAAACTTGCCGGGGCAGGGACTGGTTTCAGGGTCTCACTGAGTCCCTTGAGGGGGCTCTGGACCTACCCCAGGGTCGTGGGTGCAGAGAGCAAAACTGTAGTGCCTGAAGGTGACGAGGATCCTGTGTTTGGCCTAACTTTAATCAGATTCCTGAAACTTTTCCTGGGCTCATCTGTGAACCTGAATCCAGTTTTAGCAAGAACCCTGGGCTTCCCTTGTAGTTCAGTCAGTAAAGAATCTGCCTGCAGTGCAGGAGACCCGGGTTCGATCCCTGTGTTGGGAAGATCCCCTGGAGAAGGAAATGGCAACCCACTCCAGTATCCTTGCCTGGAAAAATCTCATGGACACAGGAGCCTGGTGGGCTGCAGTCCTTGTGGTCTCAAAGAGTTGGGCACAACTGAATGACTAACCCTTACTTATTGCTAAGTTAGTTTAGCAGGAACCCCCCCACCCTCCATGTCTGATCAGGTTCCTCATCCTTTACTATCCCCAGGTGATATCTGGTCACCCTGGCCTGTCTTCAGCAAGAATCTTGTTAGCTTGATTAGCCAGAATACCCCTTTCCCCTGATGTAATTTTAGTAATTACCTCTTAGTAATTTTCCGTCCACTGATTCCCATCCTGCTCCTTGCCTAAGTTGTATTTGGAGCTGAGACCAATCTCTCTCCCTCCCTTGCAAAATTTGGTCATTGTGGTCCCTATATCTATCAAGATGTTCCTGAGTAGAGTCGACTCTACCATCTTTAACAAGTAGCATGAATACATTTTTTTTCCTTTAACATGCAGGCTGTTCAGAGGGGAAAGGACCTCGGAGGTGTGCCCATGACTGCACACTATGCAGGGCTCTCCGGACTCACAGCAGCCCGCAGGCTGTCACCCCAGACATCACGGGAAACAAACAAAGAGCTAGTGCTGTGTTTGGAGTTGCAGGGACCAGGGTGGCCAGATATCCAGTGGACTTTTCATCTGTACCAAGTTCTCTGGCCCTTGGTCCCTCATATGCTAGGGTCACCGCCTGCCCCCTCTGCTGACCCAGACACTCCCCAACCGCACTGTCTGAAGCTCTGTAGCAGTCCCTGAGTCTCATCCTGGTTGTGTATCGTGTCCACCAGAAGGCCTGGCAGAGAGGAGGCAGCAGCCCTCAGCCCCACCCTTCTCTTGGGAGATGCAGCCATGGTTTTATTAGACTGCTGATAACAACCCATGGGACACAATATGTTGTTGTTGCTAAGTCAGTCCAACTCTTTGCAACCCCATGAACTGTAGTCTGCCAGACTCCTCTGTCCTTGGATTCTCCAGGCAAGAGTACTGGAATGTGTTGGCATTTCCTTCTTCAAGGGGTTTTCGCGACCCAGGGATCAAACCAAGTCTCCTGCATTGTAGGCAGGTTCGTTACCACTGTGCCACCTGGGAAGCCATGAAAGACAATACACTGGCCTTTTATTGCCAGTCTTTTCATAGCCTCTGACCAGTGGTGTACTTCACATGCGTGCATGCTTCAGTCGTGTCCGACTCTGTGCGACCCTATGGACTGTAGCCTGCCAGGCTCCGCTGTCCATGGGATTCTCCAGATTCTCCAGGGCAGGGTTGCCATGCCCTCCTCCAGCGGATCTTCCCGACCCAGGGATTGAACCCGCGTCTCTTACGTACTCCAGGTAGTCCCACATTAAACCCTCTTACGAGACTTCGCTCTCATACATATCTACTTAGAAACAGAGACTCAGTACAATCCAGTTAGGCCCTCTTCAGCCCCACTGAAAGGAGGAGGAAGGAGTGAGTATCCATGCTAGGCCAGGACCTTTTCTATCTGCCATGCACCTATTACCTTAATCCATTCCTCAATAATCCACACTTTTTGTGCCTTTTCTTCCATTTTTCTTTTCTTTTTTTTTTTCTGTTGCCTTTTCGCTCATTTTACAGATGAGGAAACCGAGGCTCCAAGAATGTAGATGACCAATCCAAGATCTCACAGCTTGTATGTGGTGGGGCTGGATCAGCCTACATCTCCAAGCCCCGTGCAGTTCCCACTGCCACCATCCTGTAGCTGGTACTCCTCTGGAGACAATGGGAAAGCCAGAGCCTTCTTCCTCAGCTACCCTGCCCTCTTTCATCCATCTAGGAACAGTGAGGTGTCAAGCAGGTCTCTCGCAGGAACTCGAAAGGGACTGAGGCTTGAGATGACAACCCTCTCTTTCAGACGACCACTCAGGACAAAACAGATGTTCCCTAACTTTTCTAGAGCCTGTTCTCTGCTCAGGGTGCCCTCGCTGCAGTTCTTTCTCAGCACACTCACCCCAGAAATTTAGGATTTCTGAACCCCTGACGTCCCTCGTGAGCCTCAGATACTTTCTGGCCCTGAGCCCCCCACCCTGACACAAATTTCAGGGGAGGCACGCTGGCCTCCCGCCCTGACTCAGTCAGAGGGGTTCCAGGGGTACCTACCTTCAGCCCAGCACTGTCCCAGGCGCTGGAACGCAGCAATGCCCCAAACAGCAAAACTCCTGCCCCCCACGGTGTTCTAACTGAGGAGACAGACAATGAGCAAAATAAGTGATATGAATTTGGGATGGTGTAACTACATAGTTTGGTAGAATTGGTATAAAGAGTAGGGAAGGAACATACGGTGGGACATCTCTGGTGGTCCAGTGGCTAAGACTGGACCATGCTCCCAATGCGGGTGGCTCAGGTTCGATCCGTGGTCAGGGAACTAGATCCCACATGCTGCAACTAAGACCCGGTGCAGCCAAACAAATAATTTTTTTTTTTTTTTTTAAGAAGGAAGACACTGTGAAGCTGACTGGTCATGGAAGCCTGAAACAAACAGTGAAGATGATGGCTGTGAGTGTCTGGAAGGCCAAAGCTAGTGCAGAGGCCCTAGGGAGGCAGTGTGGCTGGTGGGTTGCAGGAACCTTAAGTACAGTGTATGCAGTAGGGGAAAGAGTAGGAAAACAGGCCAAGGAGGGGATGGGCCCACATTAGGTCAAAGATGGAGTAATGACTTTGGCTTTTCCTGGGAATCCCAAGCCCTGGAAGGCTTTGTTCAGAAGAGGGGCTTTGTAACCACAGCTGACACTAATTGAGTTTTCTGTGCTGAATTCTGCATTCAATGCTTTCTATTCTTTATCTCACTTCACTTTCACAGCCTCCCTGTGTGGTGAGTACAGTTACTGTGACCATTTATTTTAAGGAGTGAAATTCACATAACCTAAAATTAACCACTTTAAAGTATACAGTACAGTGGCATTTAGTGTATATACAATATTATGCAACTATTGCTTCTATTTCCAAAGGATTTCATCACTCCCCGGGGGAGATGTCGTGTCCACTAAGCAGTTTCTCCTCCTCCTCTCCTCCCCCAGCCTCTGTAGCCATCAGTCTACTTTCTTTCTCTATGCATTTGGTTATTCTGGATATTTTATAAAAGCCAAATCATTCAGTATGTGATCTTTTGAATTTGACTTCTTTCACTTCAGTGTAATACTTTAGAGATTTGTTTAACGTTGTGGCATGTATCAGCACTACATTCCTTTCTCACGGCTGGGAAATATCCCATTGTATGGTTATCACTAGTTATTTCATGGATGAAGAGACTGAGGTTTGGGCACAGGACCGAATAACTTACTCAAGACCTCCTTACCCAAGCTGCTTAAGTGGCCCGGCCTGGACCCAAGCCCAGGTCTGCCTGACACCACAGTCTAACCTCCTCACCATGGCAACACTCCATCACTCTGTTCTCTCAACTTGGGCACATTTATAACCTCCAGCAAAATGATGCATGGTCTCCTGTCATTCTCCCCACCCCATACACCACCCCTGCCAGCCACACAGTGCGGCATTCAGAATCTTAGTTCCCCCACCAGGGATGGAACCCCCGCTTGCAGAGTCTTAACCACTGGACTGCTGGGGAAGTGCCTCCTCTCATTCTTGATCAGCGTTTGCAGATGTTTGGCTTCCAGAGGACAGGAGCTGTGACCAGCATTCTGCCCTTCCCTCAGCACATGCTGGACTCAGAGAAGGTACAGGAAATATGGCCTGGGTGATAACTTAACCCCTTTACAGTTGATCTGATTACAAGCCAGCCCCAGCAGAAGGTTGGCTGGATAAATTATGGTACATTCATAATATAGAACATGATGCAACCATTGAAAATTGTGTTGTGATATAACATTTATTATCATGAGAAAATGATATATAGCCCCTTCCACCACAAAGGGGGAGAAACAAGCTGTGTGAAAAAACTATGGAAAATATATCATTTTCTGAAGATAAAAAGCACACATACACATATAAATTCACAGAAAAATTTCTGGTGGGGCATCTTTGAAAATATTAATGCTGCTTCTTTTAAGATAATGAGATCATAGGTTGTATTCACTTATTCAATATGGGGGGAAATACTCCAATAAATCCGTTATTTTAAAAATCCATCAGTCAGATGGATTCATTCCCCAAAGAAGCTACATCAAAGGCCACTTGCTGCCCTGACCCCTAGTTCTTGGAAAGGCACAGAAAGGCCCCTCTCAGCAGTTTTCAAAGCTCTTCCCAGACTGAGAGGAGGAAGAGGCCAGAGTGGTGGAGTGTGGGGTGGGGGGATCGAATCCATAGGGAGGGGTGGTGGGTCCGCTGCGCTGGGGAACTTTGGGTCAAGTACAGGCTTCCCTGGTAGCTCAGCTGGTAAAGAATCCATATGCAATGCAGGAGACGCCAATTTGATTCCTGCATCAGGAAGATCCTCTGGAGAAGGGATAGGCTACCCATTCAGTATTCTTGGGCTTCCCTTGTGGCTCAGCTGGTAAAGAATCTGCCTGCAATGCGGAGACCTTGGTTTGATCCCTGGGTTGGGAAGATCCTTTGGAGAAGGGAAAGGCTACCCCCTCTAGTATTCTGGTCTGGAGAATTCCATGGACTATACAGTCCATAGCGTGGCAAAGAGTCAGACACGACTCAGCAACTTTCACTTTCACTTCTCAGGCTCTTCCACCAGCTGGTGCTGACTTGGGTCAACACAACCCCTCGAGTTTCTCATCCATATGGTCTGTGCACTGGACTCTTTGTAGTTGTTGATGTTTAGTTGCCAAATCACGTCCAACTCTTTTGTGACCCCATAGCCCACCAGGCTCCTATGCCTGTGGGATTTCGTACGCAAGAATACTGGAGTGGATTGCCATTTTCTTCTCCAGGAGAACTGGAGTCTTAGGTCCCTTGCAATTCCAGGACTCAAACCCCTCCCCGGCCTGCAATGGGAGAAGAGATAATGACACACAACAGCCAGCTTCTGGAAGGCGGTCCCTCCGCCCCACCCTTCCCTGGTGTGCCCGAGAGGCTGCAGGGCTGAGTGCATCTTGTCATGCTTGCTGTGCCCTCCACTGCCCAAGTTTCCAGACGGTGCCTATAATCCCTGATTTAATAAACCGGGGTACATTGGTTCAAAGGCGATCTAGACCCAAGCAGAAAGAATTTGTATGAGTTGGCCAAAAAGGTTGTTCAGGTTTTCCCATAACATGGTTTGGAAAAACCCAAATGAACTTTTTGGTCAACCCAGTAGCTCTAAATGTACTGTCTGGAAAGAACTGTGACATGAAAAACGGAAATTGCCAAACAAGACTGTGTGTGCTGTGTGTGCTGTGCTTAGGCAGTCGTGTCCGACTCTTTGTGACCCCATGGACTGTAGCCCACCAGGCTCCTCTGTCTATGGGGATTCTCCGGTCAAGAATATTGGAGTGGGTTGCCATGTCCTCCTCCAGGGATCTTCCCAACCCGGGGATCGAACCCAGGTCTCCCACATTGCAGGAGGATTCTAAGCTACCAGGGAAGCCTGATGCTACTTTAAGCACATGTCTATGTTTCTAAAGAGGTTCTAGACTGTATATACATGAATATATTCACATATGCATAGAAAAAAATTTCAGGGAAGGATACTAGAGAAACTCTGACCTCTAGAAGGTGGGACTGGGGAGTTTAGGGGTAGGAGAGGGGAATTTAACTTTTCACTTTATATCCTGCAGTACTGTGTGAATATATTTTACCACCAATCTGAGTTATTTTGTGATCAATTTAAAAGTAAATATATTAGAAAGAAGTCAAGAGAAATAAAGAATATTTCTTTAAGAATTAATTACTATTGGTATTTATATAATTATTTTAATGATTATATTATAGCAATATGATGTATTTGGACTTCCCTGGTGGCTCAGTGGTAAAGAATCTGCTTGCAATGCAGGAGACGCAGGAGATGCAGGTTCGATCCCTGGGTCGTGGCAATCCCCTGGAGGAAAGTATGGCAACCTACTCCAGTATTCTTGCCTGGGAAATCCCATGGACAGAGGAGCCTGGTGGGCTAGAGTCCATGGGTCACAAAGAGTCAGACACGACTGAAGTGTCTGAATATGCACACACGCACATGGTGCATTTATCTTTTAAAAAATGCACCATATATTAAAGTTTATAAATTATAATTAAGTATTAATACATAAACTTCATAAGAAATAAAAATAATAAGAAAATATTGCCTGATCCCACTGTCTGTTTTTTGACCACTGAAATGTTCTCTAGGGCTCTGAAGAGTTGCCATCATCACTCTGCTTCTCAGGCAACTTAAAAAAATTTGCTTTTTTAAATAAATAGATATAGGCTGGCACACAACCCTATGACATGGGGGAGGGCATACGTAGCTGGCATATTCTTGGTACTTATTTTAAAGCCCTTTGTGATGGGGGTTTTATTTGATTATCACCTTTACATCTGCCTCAGCCAGAATCCTGCTGTCTGGCACCTGGAAAGCCTACACCCGGGTCCCAGCCCTGGGGCTTGCACACCACATTTTTCCTGGGTGTCGGGACTTCCTGCGGCTTGAAGATATGCAGTGTGACTGGGCTGGTTCTCTGCACCCTCCTGTGGCAGCCTCTGGACCTGGTGCTTTTAGTGTCTTCCCTTGAGCATTTCTGCTTTTGTCACCCAAGCAGACAATGAACCTGGCAACTCCTGGGCAGGGCAGGGGCACTCCACATCCTTCAACTCTCGGTCAGGTCACCCAACTCCCACGTTCCACTGGGTGGTCATGGAGACAAAAAGCCAGTCTGCATTTATCCAAGCACAGACCCTGACTTTCACAAAGAATCACAGTGAATTTTTGCACCAAAATTTCCAGGGTAGTATCTATGCATAATTTCTTTTCAAGAGTCATTCATAATTTCAAAAAGCTTATTGCCAACAGCAACAATGTCATCCATTTGTATTTATGGCAGATGTTTTCAAGGTGGTACTATGTATGCATGCAAGTGTCTGACCACTTCATTATTGTTCTAGAAGTCATGCTTAAATAACAACAGTTTTATTATTAATTGCTTTCCCTGCATTTCTCCTTTATATTAAATTTAGGACATAAAAAATGACTGTATAGATATGCCATTTTATCAATGGATTTCCTTCAGATAGGAAGAGGGATACTAAAAATGATTTGTTTTAAGAAAAGGCGTGGTGTCTGATAGAGTTGAGATTCGTGGCCTTTGACCTCCAAGTCCTTTAGCGCAGAAACCACATCTGTTTTGCCCCTGCGCCTAGAATACATGATAGATCCTCAGTAAATATTTGTTGACTAAATAATAAATTATCAAAGTAATTGAGGGAAGCTAACACCAGCCCCTTGCTCTGCCTTGTACATACAGTAAGTGACCAATAAATAGTTCCTAAATGAATGTGTGAAATGTACTTTTGGGTAGAACACCAAGGCTGCAAAGATTACATTTAAGATTACTTGCTCTGGGACTTCCCCAGTGGCCCAGTGGTTAAGACTCCATGCTTCCAATGCAGAGGGCATGGGTTCAATTCCTGGTTGGGAA